GAGTAACAAAATATATTCGTTTGAATTGGAGCTTAGACTTGGTGCTTTTTTTTACCTTTTTTTAAAAAGGTAAGTTTTTAAATATATATCATAAAAATTTTTCTGTCAACTTTTTCCCCCACTACGTCGAAAAGTCACGTGAAATTGCACCTTTAGGCCTGAGCTGACCGCCATATTGGCGTCACTTTGAGCACACTTGAAAGCATGTAGCCGGTATAGGAGTGTCCCGACCTGTGTATAAGACCGTGCTGTAGACTGACGCTCTCGCGAACTGTCTCCGACAAGAATCACTTATTGTCTATTGAATTTCGTCGTCGCCGGAGGTCTTTATATATCCTTCGCCACTAAATTTTAAGGGCGAGTATGCGCGCCGAACCACCGCCGTGTCACCGGCGCTCGCAGTAGCGGCGCCGTGACGTGCGGTGCCCGCGCGCCTGATGTGGCGTGAGTCGCCACAGAACTTGCCCTGATCGGTGTCTGGAATATTCCGAAGTACGCAGCCTGCAAACATTTTCCTCATTTTAATCTTTTTTTAAAATATAAATACAGTGCATCGTATTTCATTGAACAATTATAAACTTCTTATAATGTAAAAATTGGCAATAATATTTAGTTAAGATGAAAACTAAAATTGAGCAAAACGATAATTTGTTATATCTAGAATTGGAAGTTAAAAATTTATCAAAAGCTTGCATTTCTTACTTGTTTACAAAACTTTTTGCGTATAAATACTGCTACGTAGTACTTACTGAAAATCACTTTTATTAGTTCCAATTTACGCAGTGGTTCCTTTCCGCATATTTCCTTTCCGACCCTCCCAATTGTACTTCTCCGCCAATTTGTTTGAGAATATTTTATATAATATTCTCTTTACGGCATCAGTGACGTTAGTTCCTCCGATAGTTTTGATATACGCGCGCTGTGAATTAAAATAATTTTACATTACTATCTCTAAAACTAAAATCTGTATATTATATTTAATATTAACTTAAATGCATATGCGTTAACTTACTATTGCAGCATTATGTTGGGAATCATAATGTTTCAAGATCTCCTCCATCTCCATCAATTCTTTAACAGTTTGCAACGGAAATCGGGTTTCAACGCTGTCAAAAGAAATCTCCGTGTTCTTGTCCACTTCTGTTTCCATAATTATCTTTTTAACTAAAATATCCAGCAAGGTAAGTGTTTGCCTCATATCATATTTTATGGTCGCTATTTCTCTCGTTAATCTTTTCAAATGATCCACTGTAAATATAAATTTAATATAATTTAATAAACAAATAAAATATATGTTCGTGAACATTTTAAATTGATATTTTTTTTAACATATATGAATATTTTTGCATATCTGTTATTATAAGTTATATATATAATATTATTAAAAAGTATTATAACATAATAATAATATTATATTTTATAATAATTATGAAAGTAGTAATGAGATGAGTTCTACATTTTTTAATGTTGAAAATTTGAGAAATAACTGAAAGACTTGGTATCCATTATTATTTTCAAATATAGAAAATGTTTTTAGGTATAAGTAAAAGTTTCAGAAATACTAATTGTAAGTTACAGTTGTAAAACTTATGTATGTTTTAGAATAAAATTATTAAAAATTATTAATTTTTTTAGCAAAAATATATTATTAACACAGTATGTATTACGTGTGTATATGATATTTGATGAATATTTACTTACCAATTGCATCTTGTGAAGATTGATGATTATCATCTTTTTTCTCTGTACGTCTCTCTTTGTCTTGTGTATAGCTTCGGCCGATTTCCTCCATGTTATCCACGTGCCGATTTGATATGTTTTCTCTATTTTTTTCTTTTGGGTATACAGCACTGTTGTGCGCTTCTTCATTTCTTGCGTATGAAATATTATGATTGTCCAGATCTACATATGAAATATATAATAAATATAGTACTTTGTACTTGAAATAAAGCTTAGGATAAGACATGCAAAATTTGACAATAATATTGGAAATATTATATTTATATATTTCTATTTTTCAATATTACTATCAATAAATTAATATTACCTTGCAAAAATGATCGGGAACTTGAATTTCGCATCTCTTGTGATTCGCCGTTTCTTATCGCAGAATCCCCAGAACATGTAATGTATGAACTTTCATTTGTACCATACAGTCGGGGACCTTTCAATGCATGAAATTAAAAATTATTAAATCTATTAAAATCTATTAAAAAATAGAAAATATTAGAATTTCGTATTTCGTATATCATAAACTTAATATATTTGTTTGTGTACTTACGTTTTGGAGGACATGGAGAAAATGGTAAAATTACGTCTGTGCATGTTTCTTCTTCGCTTTCAGACGAGGATACAAATTTTTTCGCTCTAATTTTTCTGTAACATCTCGCTTCTTTGTCGGTATCCATGTCTGACGTGTAGATTGCCAGTTTGGCTTTCTCATCGGCCTTTCGTAAAGACGCTGAAAATATTTTAAACATTATTAGCAAATATTATGAAAAATAAATTAAAAGTTATTTTACTTAAATACTTACGATACTCGCCAAAAATCCTCTTAACTTTAAAGGAAGACCAGACAGAAGTTGGCGTTTCTTCTTTTTCAATTGCCTTCCGAATTCTCGAGTCTGTCTTATAATGTGAAGGATATTTACACAGAACTTTATTTTGTAACCAAGTTTTCAGTATTACTTGGATACCGTCGGAGAATTCTGCGACGATAAATCCTGGATTCGGCATCTTTCTGAAATTCGTTACAGATTTATTTTAACGATTATTATATCGTAAAACACACACACACACACAAGATATCTATTTA